GGCGAGGTTATCGTCGCGAATCGCGGACGAGCGGGGAGATTTTTGGACGTTGTCGGCATCGCGTCGTCGTTCGAGAAGAACACCGTCGCGATCAGTGGATCGTCGACAACGGCTGGCTACCGATCGATCGATCGATCAATCAATAAATCAATCAATCAATCAATCGGGAAATGGAGATGATGATGAAGAAGAAGAGCGCGACGATCGGCGAAAAGTTTCGGGGCATCGCTCGAATTCGGTGGGTGTACGCGTCGTTCGCTAGCGTCAGTGTGTCGCGACGTTCGTCTTGTTTTGGGGCACGAACGTGTTTCGCGACGCGATACTCTCGAACTTGGAACTGCGAAACGGAAGCACGACGTTTCGTTACTGGCTACGGCCACCCGTCGATCTCACCGTGAGCGTGTACGTTTTCAACTATACCAATCTGAAGGAGTTCGAGAGCGGGAACGCGAGCAAGCTGCGCGTGCAAGAGGTCGGTCCGTTCGTCTATCGCGAGAGACTGCGTCGCGTGAACGTGCAGCTTCACGAGAACGGGACGGTCTCGTATCAGGAGAAGAGGAGTTTTCGTTGGGTGTCCGGCAGTTCGGAGACGGAGAAAGTGACGGTGCCGAACGTTCCGTTGCTCGCCGCGCTCGCTTTCGTTCGCGACGAGAAATACGTGGTGCAACTTCTCGCGACGACCTTGCTGTCCAGCATCAGGGCTAAACCGTTCGTCGAGTTGACGGTCGGCGAATACCTCTGGGGCTACGAGGACGAGCTCCTTCGACTCTTCAAACTGATCTCGTCGTCGCTGAAGCAACCGATGCCCTACGAGAAGTTCGGCATTCTCGCGATGGTACGTAGCCCCGCGGTGACGCGTTCGCGCGATCGTTCACAGAATTGCGCGTCGATTTCAGAAAAACGGAGTCAGCGCGGATCGTATCACGATGCACACGGGCGTCGCGGACCTCGAAAGGCTCGGGCTGATTCAACGGATCAACGGCATGGAGAGCCATCGGGTATGGGGCGACGAACGCTGCGACCGAGTGTACGGCACCGATGGCACCATGTTTCCACCCCACTGGATCGAACAGCCGAACAACACGCTCTACGTGTACGCGAACGACGTCTGCAGGCAACTACCGCTCGTCTACGATCGTCGCGGTTTCTCCAACGGTATCCCGACTCTCAGGTGAGCGAAACCCCGTCCTCGTCGTCGTCGTCGTCGTCGTCGTCGTCGTCCTCGAGCTTCAATACTATCGACCGAACATCGCCGTAGGTACAAATTACCGAGCAACGTTTTCGCGTCGCCTAGCAACAAAGACTCGTGTTTTTGCCCGAAGGAATCTCGCGATTCGACAGCCAGAAGATGTCCACCGGCCGGTACGTTGAACGTTTCCGCGTGCAAGTTCGGTAGCCCGATGATCGTCTCTTTTCCGCACTTTTACGCGGGCGACGAGTCGTTGTTCCAGAAAATCGACGGACTGAATCCTAGGCGAGAACGTTACGAGAGTTACGTCGAACTTCACCCGGTAAGTCCGATATATTCGCTTCTATTCTCGTGCAAAAACGCTAATCGCGATTTCGTTCGCACGCCGCCGCTGCCGCAAACAGCGTTTGGGCATCGTGGTCGGCGCCAAGATGGGATTTCAGCTGAATCTCGAGGTAAGGAAAGCGATCGGCGTTCCCTTTTCCGGCAACCTGGAGGACGGCTCGATCCTACCGCTCGTCTGGATCGATTCGAGCGTCGAGGACGTGCCGGAGTCGATGCAGCAGATCTTTTACCGCAGCCATTACCTCGTGAACGCCATCGAAGCGGGATTTCAGTGGTGCAGCCTCGTCGCGGTGATCCTCTCGTTCGGCGCCCTGTTCGCCGCCATTAGGAGGGATCGTCGTCGATCGAGCAAATCGAAACCGAACGCGGCGCCGCTCACCGAACTCACCGAACTCGCCGAACCGTGAAACTCGATCTCTGTCTCGATCTCCGTCTCCGTGTCGTTGTTCTCTGCGATTCGAGTGTTTTATGAAAAAAAATTGACGATTACCTCGTTTCACCTGAAAAATATTTATTGTTCCTCGGTTTCGATACCCTTTCCCCTTCCCGAATGCCTTTCTCCGTCTCTTCCATTCGTCGCTCGCGGGATCGCGCGATCGCGACCAAACGAAAAGCGCTCGCGAAGCAATCTTTGGTTAACCGAATCGGATTCTCGATAACGTCCACGCGTGCTCGCGAGCTATCGCGATCGCGAACGTCAACGCGAACGTCAACGCGAGCGTAAGCGAAAGCGATCAAGAAAGAAAACGCGCGATGCTTTTCCGCCGATATCGATAACCTAGGTCGAACGTCTTCGACGAAGCGAGATAAGCGTACTTCTTTCGACGCGTCGATCGATCGATTCGTCGCGCCGAGGCGTTTCGTTCCACGCGGACGTCTATCGCGAACCCGTTCGGCAGAGATTCCTATCTCTTTCGCGCGCGTTTATTCGTTTCGCCATCCGTTTTACTCGAAGAGAGTATCGCATCGTATAAAACTAAATTCGTCTAAATTTAACGCGACCGTCGTCCGTCTCGAGCTTAGCGAGCACGACGAAATACCTACAGGTACGCGTACGCTTATAGATACGGAACGAACAATCGATAACGACGAGAATGCATCGATCGGTGGCTGGCAACGTCCGAACGCGAGGACCAGCCGCGATCGATCGAATTCTGTTGGACGGAATTATTTCTGTTCGACGACGTTGCCAGCGTCGGTCCGCGACCGACGCGCACGCTCTTTGGTCGGACACCGGTCGACGGAGAACGATCTCCGAAAAATTCGTGTGTCGAGTCTCCGCAAAATGTCTCGTACCTCCGTCGTCGATGTTTTTCTCTCGTTTCCTCCCCTCCCTTCACCCGTTCCTACCCGTTTCGTACCCGGCCATTCCCACCCCCTCCATCGCGCCGCGTGCTTTTCCCACGGCGCGCGTTTTTCTTACTCCGCTAAGCGACGGCGACCGATCGACGTTACGATCTCGAGCAATCGATCGCGTTCGTATCGCGCGGCCGCCTAGAGGTAGGAACGCGAACCTCCCCGACATAAAATAAAATAAAAGAAGAAGAAGAAGAAGAAGAGATACAAAGTTGAAAAATAAAGAAAAAAACAAGAAGAACAGGTAAGTAAAAGTTCTCGTAACCGGTGAGGTACCGTTACGCGACGAAGCGTAGCGGTATCCCGTCCGTGTGGTTTGCACGGGTAACGCGTCGACTCCTAGCTAGAGAGCGCAACGCGAGTAACGACGCGTCGGGCGTTCGAACGGGCGCACGCAGGAACGGCTATTTGGATTCCGACGAGTTCTGGAACGCCGGGTTCAACTGTCCGGCCGTTTTGCCGGAATTCGCGTTCGGCGGCAACGGGTTGCTCAGATGAAGTTTCTCCTGACGTTTCGCCGCGCGAGCCAAGCACACCAGAGCGCCTATCAAGACGATAGCTCCGATCGCCGCCAGAGCACCGGACACGGCCGCGCGTGCCACCGGCGGAACGTCCACGGCCATTTTCATCAGACTTCGCATCTCGACCGGAAGCTCGTCGATGCCCTGAAATCGTGGAAAAACGAGCATGGTCAATGGCGATGCCGAGGTCTAGCGTAAATTATCTCGCAGCGTTTCCCGTCGTTATCGTATCGTTAGCGTATCGTTAGCGTATCGCCGCCCACACTCACGTCTTCGAACCACATGATGGGGAAAACGATATCCGGAAACGAGGCGACCTGCTTGATGTCCCGAACCTGGCTCACCGCCAGGTTGATCTGCACTCGTGCCTTGGCTCGCAAGGCCGTGCCCATCTTCGGTTGGACGTCGATGAAAAATTGATGCTTCTCCTGCACCGGCGCCGATATTCCGTTCACCGCTTCTCGAAGCGCGGGATCCGCTGAAAAATCGACGAACGGTAAGTGCTCCGGCATCGGTTAGGTCGAGGTACAGGCTTCGAGTAGGAGGGGAACTGGTTCCCAGCGGCGATTGTCCGCGGTTCGTTCGCGAAAGCGAACGCGTGTCGGAGCACGGTTCTCACGAGCAACGCGATGAAATTTTCGAGGGAGAAGTAGGTCGAGCGATCTTACCCAGATAGAAATGCGGAAAACTGATGAGAATCGGCGAGTCGTATTGGCAAAGGGAAACGTTGAAGGTTCCCTCTGGGGCGCAAGGAGGTCCAGCCGGGCAAAAGCATCGTTGCGACTCCAGCCTGCTCGGAGAGGCGAACGCGTCCTTGGCCGGCACGAACCTGTAGCCGGGCACTCCGCCGGCTGTGTTCACCTCCTCCTGAAACGTTCGACGAAACGTAAAAAACGGTCGTTGGCTTATTCTCCTCTTAGATTCGCTTACCTTGAACGCGAGAGGCAGGGTGCGACAGAGATCCTTGTCGAACACCTTCAGCACCGTCTGCTTGGTGATACGCGGAGGAAAGATGCTGCCGTCGCTACCGGCGACCCCGTCGCACTCGGCCGCGGTCCAGTGACCGAGGTTGCTTTTTCCGTTCCACTTGTCGAGGATTCCGTACTTGCCGATGTCTTCTTGCCCCGTAAAGATGGTGTACCAGTCGGGCATCGTGCCGTTTTTACCGTACATCAGACCGAACTGATCGTACGGCAGCTTCTGCTCTTTCGGCACCACGTCCTTGGCCAGCTTCAGCAACGGATCCTCGTAGCCCCAGAGCAGCTGACCGATCGACACCTCGACGAACGGCTTTATCCGTAGGATGTCCATGATCGAGGCCATCGCCAATCGAAGGAAACGAGCCGCGTGCTTCGACTGACTGGTCGCCGAGAGCATCGGCACGTTCGGCACCACCACCAAATCTTCCTCCGATCCGACCGACAGTTCCTGCAAATTTCCATTCGTTCCTTCTAAATTCGTTCCGTCTAAATTCGAGGAATCTACAAATCTGTCCCCCGTTTCGCTTTCGGCGGACCGAACGGCGCGCGTCGATCGTTCGCGCTCGCTCGACCCACATTGTCGCGAGCGACAACAATACT